TTGTACATTTCATGCAAATTTTGCATTTGTTGTGTACCACCTTCATGGTGTAGCAATTTTAATGGGCAACAGTGTACATTAAAAAACTTTGTTATTGTTACCAAAATTTGGTTATTCTTATCTTATCCTTATCTTATTCATTATCTTTAGATAAATGCTTTACTTTCATGCTAGTAATGTCAATATACAGCTAATAACAAGAAATTGTTATGTTATTGTTATTAGCTGTACACTGCTTTCAATTAATTATTCTAATCATTATTTTCTCACAATACAATAGTTTAAATTGCAAGCATTACACAAGTTGTTATTGAAGTTGGCAGCATGCAAAAAATACTGAATGATTTATTTATTAATTAATTATAATAATTAACAAGTCTTTAAGTTATACACTTTTAAACTGTTTTAATATGCTCTTTTAATTCAGAGTCAATGAAACAAGAATTTCCTCTAACAGTAGTCTTAATTACCTAATTTGCATAATGTTATACAGTTGATTACAGTAGAGCGTCGATTTTCCGAATCAATTGGGGACTGGGGTTGTCCGGATAACTGATATTTCGGATAACCGATTTATGTACGAAAAAATAGATTAACCTATCCCATGTTGAAATTTTTCTCCGTTGCGTGTCGCTTCGCGTTGAATTTTCGTCGATGTTAAGCATAACAAAGACTATTGTATCGTTAAAAATTATTTTTTTATTTTGTACAAACAAAATAAATATATTGAAAAATATAAAAATAATAAAAAATTATACTTCAGATGTTAATTTAGTATCAAAAACGTAAAATATTTGAGTAGCCCAAGACATAGGCAAAGATTGAAGCGCCACAGCACTGGTGAAAATTTAAATTTGCGGACTGGAATTCTTTCAGATGATTGACATTTCGGATGATTGACTTTCAGAAAATCGACGCTCTACCGTATTGTTAAAAGTCCCAAAATGATTACAAAAAATTATACCTACTGCATTTCAAAATTGTAACTTAATTCTATTTTTATCAAAATAAACATATTGATAAAACTAACACAATGAGCAAAACTTTGACAACAAAACAAAATATCCAGTCTCAATACATCAATATATTTTAAAATCTTGCATAATCAATTTATCTTTGACTGTTCATAACTATACTGTTATTGCAATTAAAATAAAACTTTTCAAAAAGTAAAGTTTTTGATTAGAAATATATGAAATGTAAGTATAACATTTATCATTATCACTTAAAACTAATACTCATTTGTCAAGAATCTGAGCTGGAAATTAATTGAAACAAATTGTTATAAATAATTTGTTCTAATTCATTTTTTTTTAAAACTATAATTAGGGTGACCACCTCTGAAGCTCTGTAAACCTGAAAAATATTTTTGTCACATGACTACCACCTGCTCTCTAATGATCATGTAACCATAGCCACATTTCTTTGGTCATAACACTATCAGTTTTATCCTGATCAACATTCAACAAGGTGGGTAAACCCAAATATAGGAACAGAGATGTGCAAATGTATTAGGGGACCAGGTGCACAGGGTGTATATCCCATTCATTAGGATTGTCACTATCAAAAGTATAATCTTTTCTTCTTTCCAGTAAAATGCTTATTCATTAAAAAACATTTTACTGGAAAGAGGAAAAGATTATAGTTTTTGATATTTGCAACTGGTTCCAGTTTTCCAATTTTCTTGAATTGTCAGTTTTCTTGTACAAAAAAACAGTGAATATTGCATAGACATTGTAAAATAGAGCACATTTATAACAACATAGTTTGTTATAAATATTTATTGACTAACTGTAAATTATGAAAAATTAAATAGACAATAAGTAGGGTTTTAAACTCAATGTTAGAATTATTACCAACTGATGCTCAATGACACCCTAACCAAGTCCCTAAATTTTATTTGCTTGTCTGATGCTGTAGTTCTGTGATAATTAACTATTATCTTCTTCATGGATCAATCATACAAGGGAAACTTTGTTTTTAAAGGAGATTCATTTTTATTGTTTTCCACCGAAATCCTTTTTTGGGCTATACTCCTCATCAGTCTGTTCTAGGAAACAGTATGTTGAAGTGTACATAAAGTAAATAAATATATAAAAGATATAGCACAGTAATTCTTTAAAAAGACTTTAAATTACTTGGTTGCTATCTACAATACTATAAAAAACACACCTTTAACAATCCAGCAAATAAAATTTACTAAATTAAAAATGTTTTCAATTGTTTTAATTGATCTTCAGTTACTGAAGAAGATCGGTTAAAACGATTGAAAAAGTTTTAATATAACAGAGATAACAAAGTTTTAAATGTATTCTTCTTTTTCATTAAATGTATTGTAGACTTATAAAATGTACTGTACATACTGGATAACTAAATATTATAAAAAAGACACATCTTTAACAATCCAGCAAATAAAATTTACTAAATTAAAAAATTTTATTTGCTGGATTGTTAAAGGTGTGTTTTTTATAATATTTAGTTATCCAGTATGTACAGTACATTTTATAAGTCTACAATACATTTAATGAAAAAGAAGAATACATTTAAAACTTTGTTATCTCTGTTATATTAAAACGTTTTCAATCGTTTTAACCGATCTTCTTCAGTAACTGAAGATCAATTAAAACAATTGAAAACATTTTTAATTTAGTAAATTTTATTTGCTGGATTGTTAAAGGTGTGTTTTTTATAATATTTAGTTATCCAGTATGTACAGTACATTTTATAAGTCTACAATACATTTAATGAAAAAGAAGAGTACATTTAAAACTATCATTGATTTATAAAATCTAAAAGGAAAAGTTATAACATTATATTATGAGATGATTACAAAAAATATCCAAATTGAAATGAAACTCAAGCAGCTTGCATATGGAAATTCTAGAGTTGGTACAACTGGCTACATTTTCATTGTTTTCCACGTTCAATGGGCAAGTGTACGAGCAAAATAGAGGTGTACCATGGGCATTCCCATTTCCAGAACACTTTGCAAGATGGTATTGAGATCATTAGAAAGAGAAATCATATCCAAATACGGTGATGACATCATTGTGTATGTGTGTTATGTAGACGATGTGTTACTAATATGGGAAAAGAAACCCAACATCAGAAACTTTATGGAAGATATTAATTTGAACACATTTGGATTAATAATAGAATTGGAGCAGAAAAGCGATGTTGCTATGCACTTCCTAGACATCTCGAACAACTTAAAGAGAAACACTGTCATCATGGATATTTACAGAAAACAGACGTGTAATGCAACATTCATACCATGGGTCTCACATGACCCAGTAAGCTATAGATTAGCAGCATTTATAACTCATAAAATGAGCATATACTCATTGCACCAAGATGCAAGATAGGATAAGAGAGCTAGAATACATTGAGGAGATGGCTCATCAGGTTGGGGTCAAGAGAAAAACAATAAAGAGAATGATATACAAATGGAGAACAGAAGAGGATGGAATGAACAAATGGAGAACAGAAGAGGATGGAATGAACAAATGGAGATGAGATGAAATGATATACAGAATGAATATGCTGTTGTTGAATACATGACAACCCTCAGAAATGTCTACAAAGAAATTGGGGTTGAAACTAACAAAACAATCATATTTAAAAGAAACCCCACAATAGATGGGATGTTAAGGAACAACAAAGAGGCGATTGACCCAACATGCATTCCTGGAATGTACAGAATACCTATAAAAAGACAGCAGAAGGCCTAATAACTTATGCTACATAGGAGCCACTACTAGATCACTAAACCAGAGGATCAAAGAACATAAAAGTAACATTCAAAAGGAGCAGCTGATTACAGCATTAGCAACTTATGACATAGCAGAACTATATTCTGTAATGATAAAATGGAACCAAGCAAAAATGATCCAAAAGATGCAGGATAAGCAATGGATTAAATATGCGAAAGCATGGCTTATTCATAAGGCTACAGAAAGGGGCAGGCAGTAAATTACAGAGAAAACACCACAGTTTCACCAGCCTGAAAAGTATTGATAAATAAAATCTAAGATGTAAGAGGATGCAAGTGCAAAAATACAACTATGAAAAGTATAATTTAGAGCATTTCTAGGAATAGGTTATTTCACTATGGGTAATAGACATTTTATATATTTATTGATTTTGCCATGTATCATGTGATACAGTATAATATGTAAAAATAACCAACATGCACATTTTTTAAAAATTTCTATTATTCCCAAAATAGAAGCTTATAAAAACCATTTTTGGAATATGGACAGTTTTGTCCTTTTGTGAAATTTTAAATTTTATGTATATTCCTGAAGAAGGTCAATCAAAAGGACCGAAAACGTTAGATGATTAGTAAATATTAGTTACTGAATATTTAACTGTTATGTGTTTGTTATTGTGATAGTGCAGTTACGGAAAGGATTAATAATACTATAAATTATATAAATGTATAAAGTAGTATATAAAAATTAAAACTGTATACTATTAAAATTAGAATGTAAAAAATTGCCAAAAGTGGAGGGTAAAACATTTAGTAAAAAAATGTGTTTTACTCATTTTTTTTTTTACTAAGTTACTAATGATTTTATATTGAGGAAAGGGATGGTATGAGTGTTATTTATGTTTACTGTGTATGGACTTCCCTCTGGTGATAATAATGTGGTCCCTACTTATAGGCCAAATTACTTAGCATTTAATTATTAATAGTAGCAATAATTTGAGGTATGGAAACCTGGAGAGTGAGTTAAGTCTAGAGAGGTAGTCACCCCAACTATAATCTATATAACTATATTTATTCTAATTTAATTTTCAACTAGAAATTTAAATTTTAAAATGTAAAATTAATTTCAATTAGCCTATTAGAATTATTAAACTTTAAATATAATACAAAACAATTTGTTAATTAAACAATAAAGAAATGACTCATGAAATATTTTATTAAACATAATTTTGTATATAGATTAAAACTGAAAAATAAATATTGCATTGTTCTAGTTAATATTCCTTACCTTAAAGTTTTTATTTGACAAATTGATGTAATTGCATCCTGTAAATGAGGAACATTATATAGAACCAGTGATGCTAAGTGTCTATGACTTACAAGATAATATAAATCTCCTAACTGTCGGCATGAAGACAAATCTAAATGAATAAGTAATTGGAGAGGCTTTAATAAGAGTGGAAAATAATCCTTTTCCATTGGTATTTCAAGTCCGTGGACAACAAGTCTCCGCAAAGATGGTGCATTTAAAATATAATTCTGTTCTTGATAAATACTTTTGCTTTTTACAAACTGATTTCCAGACATATTTACTTCTGTATCAGTCAAAGAATCTGGCAATATCTGTACTGAATTTCCTATTACTAAAGATAAAAGCTCAGAACTCATATTATTTAACAGCATCAGAGTTCTTTCAGTAAGTTTTACACATTGAGAAATGTTCAATTCTAATATATTGTGACGGCAGATAATCTCAATTCCATCATCACTAACTGATGTACCTTGTAAATTCACCTGTTTCAATCTTGTTGCAGAGTTATCAATAAATATCCTTAAGAAACTATCATCAATGACTCGATCAAGATCTTCAACAGATAACTTAAGCATCCGTTCACATATTTCAGCTGGAAGTGTAACACCTTCCCTTAACAAATACTCATTATGTACTGGATTGTATGTACAGAAAGTTTGTGGATTTTTAATACAATATTTCACACATATATCCAGCAATGTGTCTGGACTGTATTCTTCCCAAAGTGTTGGGAACTTCAGCATTTTTGTGTTTGGAATTCAGTCTACTGAGATTTAGACAAATACTTTCATTTACTCAGTTAATTTATTTTTATTTGATTCATGTCCATTAATCATAGAATCTGAAAAAAAAAATTGTTGAACAAAAGTTATTAATCCTCAATCTAATAAAATATTTTCATTAAAATTATTATTTATTCAAATTAATATAAACATTGTAAAGTACATTAACTATGCATAATCTATGTATTATTATTGTTTACTAGGATTTATACTACTTATAAATACTGTATAGGACTAAATGTATATTATACTGGTGTGATCAATTGGACACAAAGAGGTAGTAGTAGTAGTAGTAGTAGTAGTAGTAGTAGTAGTAGTAGTAGTGGTAGTAAAAATTAAAACATTTCTTATTTTCATGTGTTTTACCTGCTATTAATATATAAAAATCCTAGTGGACAATAATAATTTAAAATTATAAGGTACATATTTTTTATTACATTATTCACATAACTAGTTAATGAAAAACTATACTTAAAAATACTGCATTTTTCAACATTCTTTAATTGTAAATTGCATTTGTGAGGCTCCAGAAGTGGGTTGAAATTCGTGCACGGAAAATATTTTAATTTCGTATGAAAAAAAATTTTATAATTATTAATTTTATTGTAAAAAGAAACCGTCAAATGCAAAATGAATATTTTATGTCCATATAAGGACATATCTGTAAAAATTTCTAAGAAAGTCGAACTACTCAGGTTAAAACAACGGATGAATTACTGTACTTAGATTGAACGTCTTCGATAGGAATCAAATTGTCAATCGAAGTTGACTCACCCCACGATCTGGGCTCCGATCTCGTTACAATTCGTAACGAGGAGGGGAGACCAATTAGAGAACGGGGGCAGATCGACACCGACCTATTGGAATGTTCGATCTGGGACTCAGAAGAAACTTATAAAAACTGTGCAAAAAAAGGATGTGACGTTCTTGGTTCTAAGTTCGGTGTGCTTCGCTTCTGGATTTTTCCTGCGGTTCAATAACGAAAACTTGGTTGTCGTTCCGAAACAAGTTTTCGTTATCCCATCCCGCCAAGTTTCGCCAAGGGTAATCTGCTACGAGAATCACCCCTTCAAGTTGTGCTGTGCACCCCGGAGCCTATGTTTTCCCCATCATCTTCGCCAAAAGGAGAGAAGATCATAGAAAAGATTGAACTTTATTTACGAACTGATTCACTCTGCGGATAGGCCTTACGTTGAAGTAAAACAGTAGTTGTAAGCGAAATTTTTATATTTAATAAATAGTTTGCAATGGAGGACCTGTCTCAGTAAGTTTCACTCCCACACGACAGTGCTGACCGCTCGACTGTCGCGACACTTTCTCCCCAATCAGCAAACCTCACACATTCTTTAATTGTAAACTGATATTTTCAAAGTTTCAAATTAGGTAAGTAATCATTCATAAAAATAATGGACAAAATACAGCAGTATCTCAGTACTCAAACTGTTATCAACTGAAACAATTTGGTATTGAACACAAATTCTAGAAAAAGAAAATCATTCAGTGCTCGATTGAACAAACCTAAACCTGTAGAACAAATTTTCAATTAATTATTAAACATATTTTTATTTTGTCATACATGAAAAATTTTTATGGTAAAAATAAAAAAGTAAAGACATTGCTGATTTTTTTTATCAAGATCAACAAAAAAGCTCAGATGATACTTTGTAAAAAGAAAACGCCCTTGTTTAACCAAAGTTAATATTAACATGTAATACAGTACTTTTAATTCTGATTGTTAGTTAATTATTGATTGCTTTAATAAACATATTTCTCTTAGTAATGAAAAAGAATAGTATACTTTTGTTAACTTTTGGAACCTAACCCCGTTTTATATTAGTCCTTTGTTTCATATAGCACAGATCTGCATAACATGGCACTTTCTCACAATGCAATTACACTGTTATAGAAGGGATACCTCCTCTTCATGTAACAACTCTAAGTAAATTATATCAATAAATTTTTATTTATTTATTTAATTTTTGGGGGGGTTTCTACAAGTAGAATACAATATTGCATCAAAGCATCCCATCTTCAAAGGAGTAAAGTTACATATCTCAATCACTTTTATTATTATAATTTGTGGAATTTTTTACTTAAACCTAGGAGAGAGCAAGTATCCTGTTTGCTATTCTGCAGTTGCCCATATATACATACATACATACTTTTGAATTATTCAAATGTAGAAGTTACTACTACTTCAATTGCCTCTGATGATAAGCTTAACCAACTCAAAATTACTGTACTTGGGCTTTGATGAATGATATTTCTCATGCAAGTTTTCTTCAATAAACAAATTTTGTACAAGTTTCAAAAATTATTTTCAATACAGTGGGTGATTGGTTAACGAACAGATTGGTTAACAAACACTTTTGCGAAAGATTTTTATGTTCGGACAACGAACACATGATTGGATAACGAACACTCCACAGAACAAACACAAGAAGCAGCGACGTAAAATAATGAATACCGATTGGTCTTCCCTTGTCTTCGGCCAAAAATTTAAAACTTTTCAGAGTGTGGGAGATGTCGATATCGACGCTCAAACCAGTATATAACGTATAAATAAATAATCAACACATACCAGAAGAATATAATAATAAACTTTCTACAAACCTATAACCAGCATGAAATATGTTCAATTGCTTAGGCTAACGTTTTCGGATCCCACTGGATCCTTCATCAGGCTATGTTCCATTTGTAACGATCTGTTAGAATGCCAGCTGTCTTTGGAACGAAATTTCAAATATCGTATTTTGAGTTCCATTTGGAATCACGTGCCTTCCAACTCAAAACTCCGGTTGCTACATAACAATCTTCTACTTGTATGTCAGATTATGTATTTCTATGAATAAATTTGTTTGAGCGAGTCAGAAGTCGGAGAAAATGCATGTAGCTATTTTTAACTTATAATAAGTACCGATGCTGTTTTAATTTGAATCTCCTTTCCGTATTAGGGCTTGCCATGCCAAAGATAACATGATTTCATCTTTGGAATTAATGAGGGTTGATGAGTTGTAGGCTTTGCATATTTCTACTTGTTCTAACCATCTGAGTTGGTCCACATGTGACGTTGTGATAAGGAGTTTGGCCCTCGTGAAGTCTGCAGATATCTCCAGATCCGATGCAGCAATATAATGATCGGATAGTATTCCTCTGAACTTTGAAATTCTCCCTTGTAATTCCAGCCTTTTATTTTTCTGACAAAAACAATTCTTTTATGTATTCGCAAAACTGTTGGGTAGGCACTCATAAAGTTTTGCATCTGTTTTTCTTTTTGAAAGGTGAGAATATAATAGCAAAAGTAGAGAGTGGGCAGAAGATGCCTAATGTTGCTGGGCAGTATGGTGTGAACAGGTCTACAGTAGGCAGCAGTTCAATCTTATTTAAGAAAGAAACTGTATAGTCAAGAAGACTCAAGCAGCTAAAGGAGTAGCAAAAATCACATCTGAGAAATAAAGAACATCGAAGAGTTCATAATGGAACCTGAAATGGATCTGACGACAGAAGAATGCCAAGAACTCTTGAATGAAGAACACCAAAAAACTTGACGAGATACAGTGATACCTCAGGATACGAAATTAATCCGTTCCAAAACTGAGATCGTATCATGAAAATGTCGTAAGGTGAATCATTTTTCCCCATACGATTACACGTAAAACCAAATAATTCGTTCCAACACGAAAAACATACTCAAATTAAAGCCAAGTAATACATTAAAAAAAATAACTGTAGTAAGAAAAACAAATGAAAAATGCGAACTAATGTAACGTCGTATGGTGAGTTTTTGTTCGTATCATGGAGCAAAAATATGTTCGAATTTCATGTCGTATCCTGAAAATTTCGTATGCTGGGGCGTTCGTAACCTGAGGTACCACTGTATGTTTGAAAAAGAGGATTAATGCCAATATCTGATATTAAAGATCTTTTGAAGAAGTGGGAGGATGTCAGAATAACAGTCTTAAAATGGCATCCAAACCAGGTTGAGGCTTGGGGATTTCTACAATTACAATGCTATTAATTACTTCTGAAAACTCCTGAAGAAGAGAGAAAAGCAATCGACATTAGACAGATTCTTTAACCCTTTCAAATGGAAAAAACATGACTAATATAAATGCAAGATTGTGTATGTATGTATTTTTATTATTAGATATAAATAAATGTAGTAAGAAAGTATATATTTTTTATTTTGGGGGGGTCTTCAAAACGAATTAATTAAATTCCCATTAAAACCTATGGTAAATTGATAATCGGTTAACAAACAATTCAGATAGTGAACAGTCTTGGAATGGATTATGTTCTTTAACCAATCACCCACTGTATATGAACTTCTGGTGCAAACTGGAAGTTATGTTATTTAAATTCAAAATTTTGAATTATCTAAATTTAACTTAAAAATTTTGAATTAACTTTTGTTAACACTAATTTAAATGCAAATTTCAGGAGGAATAATAGTTTGATTTATCCACAATTTGAATAAATAAAATTTGACTGTGTATTATTTTAAGAAATTAATATACAGATATTACAAAAAAAACCAATAAAATGAAATGGGTGGTAGAGAGATCATGCAATTTTGGTCATATAGATGGGTCACTGCAGCCTCATTACGAGACAGTTTAAAGTTACTTTGCTGCCTTGCATAGCATGCAAGTAATGTAAAAATGTCCACTGTTACACACCTTGTTTCATCGTGTTTCAGTTTTAAAAATATAGATATGTTCAGAAAAGGGAAAACTGGAATCATAGCAGAGAGTATTTGTTACTTGTTATTTCTTTATTGATAATCCACATTTAATTGCATGTCAAATTTTAAGTGCAATTAACAATTAAAAGGAGGATTTACCAAAAATTTAGGAGCTTTTATCTTGTAAGAGGTCTGTGGCAACCNTGCACTTTTTTTTGTCAGATACTAGCATTTACAAAAACAATTTATATATAATTTAAATTAGTCTGTGTTTTATTATTAAAATATTGCACAAAGAGGAAAATTATGTAACAGACAAAGATTAGACAAAGATAAAATTTTACTGAAAATTTTTCTATGTAATTAAAAATAATGTGCAATATAAATCAATCAATATAATATCAATG